GATCCATCTGGGCTTTCCTTTACTGCATATACCCAACGACCTCCCACTGCTTGCTTGCCTTTTGGCAGTGTGGTCAGACTGAAGGTCTCATTCTCTGTTAAAGAGTTAATCTCCTCTTTCATTGCATCAGCCCACATTTTTGATTTCTTAGAGCCTACAGCCTGCATGTATGTTTTGGGTACGTCACAAGCAACTCTGTAGAAATAATCTACATTTTCACCTTCATCATTACAATCAGCCTTACACTGATACTCCAATAAATATTCTGGAGCGTTTCTTTGTCTAGTGGGATAGCGTCGTGCACTCTCTCCCTGTTCTCTTTGAGTACCATCTGTCTGGATCTGACTAGCCTCAATATTCTCCTCACTATCGGACTGTACACCCACATTAGGCTCTCTCTGATTCTGGTTGACCATTTTTGTCCCTGCTGGTGTTGTGGGAATAATTTCTCCATAAGTGTCATCATCCATATTACGATTTGTCTGAGTCTGACTATCTGCGCTACTCTTTGTGATACATTTGACCAGCCTATGTTTCAGGACTTTCCCTGTCTCAGGATAAAATACTTGGAATGCTGGGCTATATTTGTCGTATCCTACAAAAATACCCTTTGCACATCTAGAATCTAGCTTCTTCTTATCCAGCTTATACCCGTAGCATTCAGAGCCAAATATTTTCATGTTGGACAAGTTGGGTGTTTTGCCAGTAAAAACACGGTATGGTGTCTCCGTCTGCCTTCTTCACCTGATCACGGCCCAGCCCTCTGCCTCGGCCTCGTCCTCGGTGTGGCGTGTCCCACCGTCGCTCCTCTCGCCTCGCTTGGATCTCGTTAGGGCATGTCCTAGCCATATGCCCCATCTTTCCGCATGTGTAGCATTCAGTGTCGGCCAAGTCCATCTTCTTCCCTCTTCCACGTCCTCGTGTCCTTGCCCCGCTAGTCCTCATAACGCCGTCCTCATCCGCATTCATGTCACTCGTCCTATATTTGTCAGTGCTCGCATAGCTCCGCAGTTTAGCTTTGAAGTCACCGAACGTTAGACGGTCGTTGGTTTGAGTGACGTGCACGACAAACGGGTTGAATGAGTCCGGTAACCCCTTCACTACCATGGCAATCTGCAACCCCTCACTGATATTTTCTTCGGCCCTTCTCAAAGACGTGAATATAGTCTCCGCTCGAATAATATAATCAGTAACAGTCTCGTTGCTTGCTTTGTGGAGAGAAGAGAGTTCACAGTACAGGCTCACGACTCGTGGTTTGTCCTTTCCTGCGTAGTGCTCTCGGAGTATTGCCAACGCTTTTCTTCCATCTCGTTTTGCGTCTCTCATTATGAGTGATAAACTCTTATTATCTAGACACTGCACTAATTCAGCATATGCTTCTGCATTCTTTGTTGCGTCTTCTTCAAGTGCTTGTTCGTTGTTGTAGTCTATCGCTGGCTCTTCCAGGATAACTTCACTGAGGCCGCGGAGTTCCATGTGCGCCAAAAACCTCGTCTCCCATAACTCAAAGTTTTTCTCGTCACCGTCGAATAACAACTTAAACCACCTTTGGCCTCCTTGACTGGGCCCATAACCTGTTGCGTGAGACATTATATTCAGCAGAAGTCTCCACGTTTTCAGTCAACCAAAGTAGTTTGTAAGTATGCTACGGACAGAAAACACACACGACCACATCGCTCAGAGTTTGGCCTGGAGTACGGGGCCGTTTATTGAATCTGCGCATGCTCATTAGCATGACCACGTTTATTTCACTCAGGCACATTCTGATGATGTCATACACATGAACTGTTAAACATGACTTTGTTCTTATACAAATATGCTTAACATAGAGCACACAGACTTATGGAGCATTGTTTCATTATCACTGTTCTAGCAAAGTGATTTTTTTATTTTTTTGAAAGGAATGCTCACGTTCATAATGATGTATTTTAATAAATGTTAACTTGGCCCATTACGTGACTATTTGTGTTGGGGGGCCCAGCTTTTTTTTTTTCTCCAAAGGGGGGCCCATCTGACGTAAATAGTTTGAGAACCACTGCTTTAGATGAAAATAAGGAGCCACTCCCCACGCCCCTCTGAGAGATATTTGGTTAAAAATAACACAATGGTGCTCTAGGAGGAGATTCAGGTGATAAATGAGTTGAAAATGTCACCTAAGTAACAAGTATTATCAGCTAAATGTACTCAAGGGTCAAAAGTACTTATTTTGCAGAATGCCTCTTATAAATGGGTTGTATAAAATATTATATTATGCTGTTTTTATAATTAGAAAATACATATTAGGGTTTGTTTATGTTGTAATTTGTCAAAATGTTTACATTTTTTCACCAAAGGAACTTTAAAAGCCTATGAACTAAAACACTTAGGACAATGAATATATGACAATATATGGCAAACTACAGTGTGTTATATTTTAAAGTGGAGGGCTGTGCAGACATGTGTGCAGAAATGTGCAAAATATAGTCAAGGAGCTGAGCATGAACATGGCTCACAGTATTAAGAAAAAAAGAACCACATGTTGTTCACAGGATGTGCATAAGGCATGTTTTTCTGGGGTGGATAAAAGTCAGGGTCAGTCGGTCGGGGTCCCGGGCCTTGATGATGAGGCCGGAGGGAAAGAAACTGTTCAGGTGGCGAGTGGTTTCGTTCCTGATGGAGCATAGCCTCCTGCCAGAGGGGAGCGGGGCACATACAATGTAGTATGATGTATAAATGTAGTAAACTAGAAGTACAACTTGGCAGAATATGAAACTACTCCTGTAAAGTAAAAGTACCCCTCAAATTATAATGAAGTACATTACTTGAGTAAATGTAATCAGTTACATTCCACAGCTGCATAAAACAAGCTTGTTTCTAATTTCGTCATCATGAGACAAAAAGATCAATGGTTCTTTAAAAAATCATAAAATGTTTCACAACATTTAGATCTGCAGGGTTCCCCAAGGGATTGCAGTCAGTCCAATATTATTTAACATCATGATTAATGATATATTTACATGTTTAGACACATGCATTCAATCGGCTCTATACGCAGATGATGGGGCTATTTGGATGAGGGAGCGATTAAAAAAGTGGAGAGGTGGTCATATAACTGGGGATTCAAAATGTCAGAAAGCAAGTCATGCTACATGGTATTCACAAACAAACGCAAGATTGATGGCCAACAGCTAACACTATATGATCATCCAATGACAAAGGTGAATGAGTTCAAATACCTAGGACTGTGGTTTGATAGCAAATATACATGGAAAATGCATATTAATCAAGTGGAAACAAAATGCAAAAAAGTATTACATTTATTGCGAGCTGTAGCTGGATGCAACTGGGGCGCAGACAAACAAGCATTAATAGACATTTACAGATCAATTATGAGGTCCACAATAGATTATGGTTGTATAATGTATGGAGCAGCAGCAAAAACATCGCTTTTAAAAATGGATAGAATACAAAATAAAGCATTGCGGTTGTGTATTGGAGCGATAAAGTCATCCCCTATCAATGCAGTTCTGATAGAAGCAGGAGAGACACCTCTGGAGATCAGAAGAGAGAAACTTGCTCTGTCATACTGGGTCAGACTACAAGGAAGTGGAGAAGAAAATATTTCAAACAGAATATTACAGGATTGCTGGGAATATGCAAAATTCCAGGGACGTGGGTTTGGCTGGACGAGTAAGGAGAGAACGAGGGCATATGGAGTGGAGAATGTCACGTTTGCCAAAGCAACCCCATTTAGTTCCTCCATGGCTTTTCCCAGAAGCTAACATAGATATGAGTATTGTAGAAAGGAAAAAAGAGTGGCAAATAAATGAAGTGGGAATTAAAACAAGTATGTATCTGAATGAAAAGTACTACAATTACCTACAAATTTACACAGATGGTTTTAAGAACAAGGAAGAGTGTGTTGGAGTTGGTATATACATCCCAGACTTTAAAATATCGATTTCAAAAAGAGCGTCTGATCAATTATCAGTGCAGCAGAAACGCTTGCTGTAATAATAGGATTACAGTGGGTTGAAGAGGTCAGACCAGATAGGGTGGTGATGTGCACAGATTCATTGTTCATATTACAAAGCATACAATCAACAACAACTGCCAGAGAAGACATACTCATAGAACTGAATCATAGCCTGTTAAGACTGCACAGAGGCGGTATAGATCTGCAGTTCTGCTGGGTGCCTGCACATGAGGGGGTGAAAGGGAACGAGTGTGCTGATAAATGAGCAAAAAGTGCACTTCAAAAGGAAATCACATTACCTGTTCAACTTGGTAAAGGAGAAGGAAAAGCAGTAATTAAGAAGAAAGAGATGGAGATCTGGCAGAAAAGGTGGGAGAAAGACCAGAACGGCAAAGACTATCACAAAGTACAAAAGACAATTACAATTCATATTTATAAAGAAAGAAACAGAAGGGAGGAAATCACGATCACTAGACTCAGAATAAATCACACGGCTTTGAATGGTATGCTGTATGTCATGGGGAAAAGTGACAGTGACAAGTGTGGGAACTGTGGAGTAAAAGAAGATGTAGAACATATCTTGTTACATTGTGACATCTATAAAGCGGAAAGAGAAAATCTAAAGGCTAAAGTTTTAGAGGCAGAGAGGGAATGGAGTGTGGTTGGTGTTTTGGGAACAAAAGGAGAGGGAGTAAGAGCTACCAGAAAGGCACTGTTTACATTCTTGAGTGAAACTGGGGTAGGAAAAAGAATTTAACATTAGGTCAGGAAAGAACATAGATTTTTATTTTTGTTTTATTTATTTCATGTTTTTTGTTGATTTATTTATTTATTTTGATTTATTTTGATTAGATCATAGGTTAAAGAGTTGGTATGATATGATGATTCATACTCATGTACAGTAGGTGGCGGTATGCACCTTTTAAGTTGTTTGCAATCCGCCAAAAACGAAGAGAAGAAGAAGAAGAAGAAGAAGAAGATCTGCAGGGCTCCTTTAACCCTCCTGTGGGAGGAGCCTGCGCTGACGCTCACTTCCTGTCAACAGAGGCGGTCCTGCTCATGTCAGTGTGACTTTAAGTGAAACTATCTTCTGCATTGGGCACAGTTTGGTTTCAACTGACAAGTTGTTTCTGTGTCGTGCTTTTTGTTACCTACAAATAATGTCGGACTCCATAAAAAACGTGGCGGTATTTGGAGCCACGGGAATGACGGGGCTCGCGACCCTGCCGCAAGCCGTCTCTGCAGGTGAGAGAGCACACATGTAGCAGGCTGTCTCTGCAGGTGAGAGAGGACACATCTAGCAGGCTGTTTCTGCAGGTGAGAGAGGACACATGTAGCAGGTTGTCTCTGCAGGTGAGAGAGCACACATGTAGCAGGTTGTCTCTGCAGGTGAGAGAGGACACATGTAGCAGGTTGTCTCTGCAGGTGAGAGAGGACACATGTAGTAGGCTGTCTCTGCAGGTGAGAGAGGACACATGTAGCAGGTTGTCTCTGCAGGTGAGAGAGGACACATGTAGTAGGCTGTCTCTGCAGGTGAGAGAGGACACATGTAGGGAGGCTGTCTCTGCAGGTGAGAGAGGACACATGTAGCAGGCTGTCTCTGCAGGTGAGAGAGGACACATGTAGCAGGCTGTCTCTGCAGGTGAGAGAGGACACACATTTGATTTTGTCAAAATCCACCAGCTTGACTAAGTGTACACTTTTGAAGGTCATAGCAAATGTTATCTATTCGATTATTGCATATCTATTACATGTAATCTGATTTAAACGTTAAGTTAGTAATATTTGTTTTTTCTCTGCTTTGAAATATTGGTTGGGATTCGCAAAAGATTTTTTAAAACATAAACTGCTGCAGACAGGCCGCTACACTTGCCTATATGACTTACACAAACACAATATGTCACATGATTGTATTTGCTTAAGCAGCATATTATTTTCCTTTCTCCTTCCTAAAAACTGTTGAGTCATGTTAGACGTTGCAGGGCAGCATTTTGCTGAGTCACTGAGAGCTGATAGTAGAAGCTGTTCACTATCTGGCCTGAACAGGGAGGGCGGTTCCCCTTATGAAATGGGTTAAGTTATTAAAAGAGCTTCTGGAAAATACTTTTATTCTTGCTCCAGTTTGAATATTTGTTAGCATGCTGTCCTGTAATACCAACCTATGTTTACAACACATGAAAGTTAGTGCACAATAAACAATCGGGTGACAGTTGTCAATGTGCCACAAAGAGTAATCCCTGCTCTTTTATTGGAGCCGCTAGATAAAACTCATTCTCATTCTGCCACTTCTGAATGGATGTCAAATGTAACAAAATCCCGCAAGAAAAAAGGAAAGATCTTAATTATTTAAGAAAATATAACCACAGTTTTAACTATGGCTGCACAATTTGTACAAATGTAACCAATCGCGATTCATTTGACTGATATTGCTATTGCGATTCATTCACGAAATTGTAGGTATTGGTCATTTTGCATCATAATTCTCATTATCATTAAAGATTTGTTGAAATGATAATGGGGGGAATATTTTAAAGATCTTAAGAAACAAATATGTTTGGTTAAGTGTGTACAAAAAATTGTATAGGCCTGGATCTTTTGCAGATCCTAAAAACTTGAATCAAAATGTAGCCTTATATAAAATATTGTGCTTGCTGCTATTTGAATAGTCCACCAGTCCATATTGCAATTTAAATATTTGATTAACTGTGCAGCCCTACGGTTAACAAAGAAATGCATCAGAAATGGCATTATTGTTGTTCTGTTTCATTTCTATGTCTCCTCCCTCAGGATACAATGTGACTGTGCTGACGCGAGACCCTTCCAGGCTGCCTGCCGACCACAATGCGTTCCGGGTGGTGGTGGGAGATGTGCTCAATAAAGACGATGTGATGAAGACCCTGGAAGGCCAGGACGCTGTCATCATCATCCTGGGCACCAGGAACAGCCTGAGTAAGGCTCCACAGTTTGACCCACAACTATGCAAAACTATGCAAAACTATGCAAAACTAACTTTCTTTCTGACCTAAAAGGAAGTTGTATCCCAGAAGTAGACATATACGGAATGGCATTGCATAAATGTAATTTACAATTTAGCTAAGCTTAGTTTACATTTTATTATTCTGATTCTGATTCTGATGAATTTTTGCTTACACTTTGGTTTTGTTTTAAAGTTTTGAATTAGCTGTCCTATATTTGCAGCGTTTCTCTTACTGTTGATTGAGCAATTCTTACACCATTATTGATTTGTTTTGCTATTGTAGAAGTTTTTCTTTGCATTGTCAAAGTTCACATTGGTAACTGACCATGTACACCTACAAGGAGGACTGTAGTTTGTAATGGTGTAATAATGTAAAACATTCACTAGAGGACGCTAACAGACTTTACAACATAAAGTTCCTATTTGATATCATCTTGTCAGTGTCACACAATCTAAAACACACTGTACATTAATGGTGGAAACAGGATTTACAATATGTAAAATATCTAGACTTTATCAAAAGTGGCAACACTTAAATATGAAAAGGCTAATGTGACACAGAGTAACTCCTTTTAATGTTGGAAACTTGTGTTTTCATGTATGTACTTTACATTTGCTCTACTTTATTACTATTCCACAGTATACAGTAGTGCAGTGATGACGTAGTTTTATGCTGTCCCAGGAGTTAGCATTGCAAGGGCTTCTTCGAAAGAAAGCAATGATATTTTTCAATTTGGCAGAAAATAAGCTCTGCGGCAAACATTTATGACTTACATTACTTACGTTTTGTTCAGCGAGATAGTCTCCACATATTAACCATACTTTGTTTTTAAGCGTCCATTAAATGCAATCACCACAGGTGAAAAGCTTTGTTAGGACATAAACTACATCATGGTCACATGACCTCTTGTCACCACCGCTAAGCTAAAGGCAGCTAATGGTTGGCATGATGATGTTCAGTAGTCTCAGTTTTTAGACACATAGGAGCTTTGGACATTCACAGTGGGGTATTTCTGACCTATTGGATCTCGTAGAACAAAACATGAAAATCTCTCACGTTTGTATTAACCACAGACCTTATTTCAGCGACCTAACCAAAAACACGTTAAAAAAAACTGTTGACTGTTTTAAACTATTGTCAAGAACAGTTTATTGATATGGAGTTCCCTTCCACTTCAGTACATGAGTCTGTGATCTGTTCTCATCAGGCCCGACCACCATGATGTCTGAAGGCACCAAGAACATAGTTGAAGCCATGAAGTCCTGTGGGATCTGCAAAGTGGTGGCCTGCATGTCAGGTACAACTCACTGTTTATACAAGTTACAACAGAGCGGGTGAGGTGGTGAAGTCTGTGTGATGTTGCTGGGTTAAAAGTGGCCGTTGTTTCTTATGTACATTGCATAAGGAAAATTACAAGTGTAATTAAAGTGTATTTGACAATCATTTATTGCCCTTTCTTTCTGAGAGTGATTGTGATTATTTTTCCTGATCCTCCCAGCCTTCCTGCTGTGGGATCGCTCTAAAGTCCCGCCCCGCATGCTTCCTGTGACAGAGGACCATGACAGGATGCACACAGTGCTGAAGTCCTCAGGGCTGGACTACGTGGCCGTCATGCCTCCTCACATTGCAGGTCAGTAGGAAGTAAAACTTTATTTCAAACAAACCTGGAAGAAAGGTTTTAAAACTGGTAAAGTATGATTATGTACAGTACTTGGTTAATGTACTTAGTTACTTTCCACCATTGATTTAACATGCGTTTTTGTCCCTAACTTGCTCCCTCAGACGACCTTCCTCTGACGGAGAGTTACCTGACGCAGGAGAACATGCTGAAGGGGAGAGCCATCTCTAAACACGACCTGGGACACTTCTTTGTCAAGTGTCTGTCCACCTCAGAGTGGGACGGGAAGGCTGTGGGATTGTGGGGAGAGTATAAATAATCCTAGACAGACAGACAGGCAGGCAGACAGACAGACAGACAGACAGACAGACAAGACAGACAGACAAGACAGACAGACAGACAGACAGACAGACCAAAACACACTGAAATTACTTTCTTTTTAGTTTTAGACTTGGAGATAAATGAAGAACTACAATATACATGTTTTGTGTTGTGATGAACCACTAATGCTTCTCTGTGATCACTTTAATAATAATAATAATTGAGCAGCTTTTTATTGCCGTAGTTATATTTTTATACCAATTTAGATATTAAAGGGCCCATGTCAGCCCGATTTTGGGAGTCAGAGGCCGTCAGAGGCCGTCAGAGGCCGTCAGAGGCAGTCGGGCATTCGCGGCGCCCTACTCAGGTTTGTGTGTCCTGCACCGTCGTCTCTTTACGGCACCTTTTCACACCGCCCGACGCCAGTCAGAGAAAGTCAGCCCAAGCAATCACTCTGATTGACTGTTCACACTACCGCTGCCTGCTGGTAAGGACAGTTATTGCCACTCGTCGACTGAAGTATTTGTGGTGTGTTCGTAGGCGGGCGGCGTAGCGGGCGACGTAGCCGACGCAGGCGACGAAGCTGACGTAAAAGTTGGGACGCCTTCGGTACGCGTTCTTTGGTCTCAGGTGGGTGTGTAGCGGCCTTTACACAGAAAATACCTGTCTCTGCTGCCCCAGAACGCCTCGTTGGAGATTTCTCATTTTCCATGTTTGCTTCCTGGGTTCTGTGACGTGTGAACACCCAAATCAACAACAAATGACCGGATTGGCCCAAATGGACCAATCCGCGGAGCACCTCACACACCAGGATCCCTTGGCTAACTAACAGGAAGTCCCCATTGACTTGCATAGAGCTCCCTGAACGCTGGTAAGATACGAGTTGGGATCGTGGAGAAATGCTCTCTGCAGACCCATTCTCACAGCGTTATAAACCTTTTTCTTACTCAATATCAAGCCACACTTATTGTTTTTACTTCGGCTGCGAGTGTTTGTGTGTGCTCAGGGTGAGTTTCGCTTGTTCTCGCTGTATCGCCGACCTGGAAACCTGTCCGCTCCTCGCAGCAGCGAGCCTCGCAACGTCCCGACCAATCGGAGCACACTGGGCTCACAGGGAGGGGGGGGCAGGAGCTCCAACAAGCCGTTTAGGACAGAGAGTGAATACCTGGTGAATACACATACTATACAGAGATGCTGTATGAGAAACCAATGTGAGTTTGGAAAATTGCACAATTTAAATCTATTCTAGTATACCACAACAATGGAAATAGGATCAGTAGAAATGGCCTTGACATGGGACCTTTAACACAAGCTGCAATAAGGATATATTTTAAAACAAGTGTCAAACCTGCTTCAGCTGTTTACACTGCTTTACACTTCTTTCTTTCACAATAACAATCTTTATGTTTAATGTTTCTGTTTTTGAAAATGTTATCGTGTGATACCTCCTGTCACTGCTCTCATGTACAGTGGGTTTGTTTCTATATCTGTTGAAAATAAAAGTGTTTATTGTGGTAACATTGTGCTGAAAGAGTGTCATGTGACTGATCGGACTGCGGCCTGTTTTTTCACTAGTGACAAAAAAACATAATTATAAAAAAACGTATATTAATATTCTATCTCACTTTAATTACGCTTTGTAAACAACAAGAGGGAATTAGTATTAGAGTAGATCATAGGTGGATAGTACTCAAAGTACTGTTGTTAATATTAGATAAAAGATGGCATTATGTAATTAGGATACAATAAAAAGGTTCCTTAAACTTAAACATACATAAAGAATAAGTAATCAGATTACTGGTACATTTAACAAAGGGGATTATTATCAGTTTTACAATGCTACAATACATTTAAATAACATCATATCAAATCATATGCTTGAAAATATTGTGGGTGAGCTTAATCCACTGTATGTATTAATCTAAAACGGAGCCTTTTCTCCATTTTGATTGGTGCTTTTTTGCTGTATATGGTCATGTCTCTCACTGTTTGTCTACAGTCTACTGCCTGAATACGCTGCAGAGTTCCTTACAACAAATACAACAAATACAACATGATACAACATTTCTTCCAAAAGTCTAAATATTTCATTACTTTTATATTGTGATAATTAGATTGTTTAACAGGTAATTACTAATTGCAATGGAATACATTTTTAAAGTTACCCTCTTAACCCTGCTTACCAATTGGCCTTCATGTGAGTAAACAACTTTATGACCATGGTTCTCACCTTTTACAAAAAATTGAACGGGTATAAAAAACAACTGACTTTGGACTAAGAAGAAAGTCAATTAGTTTTATTATTGACGGTTTGGTCATGTGTTTCATTATTTGTTTCCATGTGTGGAATAAATAGATGAAACAATACCATTGAAATATTATTGGATGCATGTTTAGAAACCATAACACTTGTGCATGAACTAGTCTCTATTGTTCAGCAGACTGTCTCGGTCAAGTTATTTCTGGCCCTAGATGTGAATCCATATATAGATGGCAGTTTGAACTGTTGCAGTACATACTACAACTACCTCACTAGGTTGGATCAGTGTTATTAAATATGAGTGTCTGTCTTATGTTCTATTGGGATAGATACTGTATTTGGTATGATACTTGCAGAACCAGTTGTTTTAGTCTGCCTCCTACACTTCAGCTCATGTGAGTGTTTCCTCAGGTCAGTCAGATGAGTGGCATGTGTTACACATGATGTGTAGCTGTTGCGAAACTCCCTCTGACTATATGTGTCAAGTGGCTTAAGAGAAGGTTACATGATCCCGGAAACGATTTTCTCCTTCAAAATAAAACCTGGATTTCTTAGTTTGAGGATTGGAGACCACTATACCATTATAATTACTTAAAGGGGACCTATCATGCAAAATGCACTTTTGTACGTTGGTTTAAATCTTCCGGACAAAATTTGAAAAGTGCCGGTCAAAGGTCTTCTTTGTTATTTATTGAGCTTTAAAACAAATGAATAACGACTCTATATAATAATATAATAAAACACGGAGGACGGAGATCTCCCCCCTCTTCTGACAGCCCAGCAGCTGTTCAGAGCACGCTCCCCTCTCCTGCAGGGGGGCGTGGTCAGCTGCAGCTCACAGAATCAGCCCCCTGCAAAAACAGTGCTGGAAAGAGCAAATGGAGCGAAATGAGGCATGGCTAAAATGCAGGATCTGTTTGGTATTTTGAAAAAAAAACTATATTTATATACTTTATATAGGTATGGCCCTACAATATATTGTTCAAATATAGCATGATAGGTGTCCTTTAAACTTTACAGCATCTCATTTAGCAGTAAATCACTTAAAAACAGCAATACCAGTTGTTCCCACTGATTTTTTTAACTTGATTTAGTCTTGGCAACAAAACACAATTGAAGTCCACCTTCGTTCAAAAAACATGTTCATTGTTACTTCACAATTCTCAAAATGTTCCCATTCATTTGCTGAAGGTGAACGTTTATCTGTGCTCAGTTTAATTCTGAGTTTAACATGCGCACGTGCAAGCTTGATTTATGACATCTCGTCTAGTTTGGAGTTTGCATGTGAATTGTTGACAGTTCTGCTGTTTTAGTGGCCGTGACAGACCAGGGGCCTCATTTATAAAGGGATATAGCCTACGCTCAAAAAATGGCGTACGCCAGTTTCTACGCAATGTTTGCGATTTATAAAATACTAACTTGACGGGAAAATGTGCGGTCCTCCACACAAACTCTAACCCATGCGTACGCACTAAGCACAAAAACGGGAGAGACGAGAAACTGCGACACCGTTGGCAGAAGGAAGAATGGAGAGAAATATGCAATTTTCCAAACTCACATTGGTTTCGCATACAGCATCTCTGTAAAGTATGTGTATTCAGCAGTATTCACTCTTTCCACTAAACGGCTCGTTGGAGCTCTTGCCCCCCCCTCCCTGTGAGCCTAGTGCGCTCCGATTGGTCAGCTCGGCCACTCTGTTCTGATTAGTCAACCACCAGAGAGGCTCCGCCCATGTCTAACTGCTTTTTTCGGCTCGCTCTCAGCGGAACAACAGTCTTATAATGGCCTCGGTACAGCCGTATATTTTATACGCTAACTAACCGAACTGTACCTACAACTGTTGTGATAGAAGAGTACGTTATTTTTACCTGTAATAAACTACTACTGTTTGATGAGAAATCAAATCATGGTTTGCTATATATGAATGATATGTTATAGGAGCAAATAATTCAGGGAAGAAAGGATAGGCCTACTAAGTATTTCCATCAAACTTTATTTTTAGAAATGTACAAAATGAACATGCGTAAATATACATATATACACTGTATATCATCCATTCCTCCCCTTATAGGCGTTTTCGGCATCTTGCCTATCGCAGCTTTGTAAGCGGCTGCCGGGGCTTTTTAGGACGAGGTATCAGAGTGGGTCATCCCGTGTGTGTGTTGTCCGCCAGATACGCCAGGAGTTTCCTGATCTGGCTGGACGAAATCAAATGCAAATCACAAAATATTAGAGAAACGTAGTTGTTTTAGATTCGTTAGTAGTAGTTGTGGTAGGAGTGTGTATCTATCTAATCTATCTATCTAATCAACACAGTTTGTTTTCCCGAGCAAACTAATGTCTAGCTCCGTTTTTTAGCTCGGTAGCATACACGCTAGGAACGCCAGCTATAATGTAATTACGTTTTGCGACTGACCGTACGGTAAATCACCCGGAGTATAATGTCTATGAGTATTTCGTGTGTGAATGCAGACATTCTCCTGCTATGAGATACATGTATGTAAGGCCATCTGCTGATATTAGAGTTGATATATGGAAATGCTAGCAACTTAGTTAGCACAGTTAGCACTGTGTCAATGGCTTAGCAGTCCGACACACGTTTACACATTTAAACAGTCGTGGTAGATACCTTGTTTGGGAGACATTCCTAACGAAATGAAGTGCCAATCACAAAATATTATTGAAACTTAGTTGTTTGATGTTCGTCAGCTTGCCAGCTGGATTACAATGCTAATCTACGTTTGCTAGTTGTTCAGTGTAATATGCTTTGACAGAGGTAGATGCCCCACCACATCAACCGCTACTCTCTCCATTGGGGCCCCCACGGCAAACTGTTGCAGTGGAGCATGGGAACGACCAGGGGGACCCTTACGAGCCATACAAGGGTCACAGCCGCGACAGAAGTCTTCGACATCCCTCCGGCACTGCCCCCAGTAGCAGCCCTGGCGAAGGCGGCGGAGAGTCTTAGTGACGCCAAAGTGCCCGGAGCCTGCCGTTCCATGCATGGCCTTGAGTAACGCCTCTTGCAGACCCTTCGGGACCACCACCTGCCATCTCTTCTCCCCCGTTGCTGACTCCTTCCACGCACGCTGTAGTACGCTCTGACACAGACGCAGAGCCTCAAACTGAGACCACAGCCCAACCTGGTCTCACCAGAATGCGTGACTCCACCACGACTCCTTAACACCGCAGTGCGTGGTGGAGTCACGAACTTTGCTAGATTTACGTGTCGGCACCACGCAAACAACCCCAATGTAAAGTGAATGAGGCTCCTTT